TTGACGGCCGCCAACGTTCTTATAAGATCAAGGCATCTAAACAGTGAGATAATATAATGCAAAAACGGTGAAATACTCTGTCACGTATCTTCATAATTAATAATTTTCAAACAAAATCACGTTCTCTTTTCAATACCTAATTTCATAGCAGGATGTTAAATGTAAACCACAATCATTTCAATGAAAAATATTTTGTTATTATTAAAGATGGTGTTTAAGGCTACCACTAATTTCCAGTATATTTCCTCAAGTTAATTGCAATACTTCGTGACCACTGCTGCACTTCCCAGTTTGCTACTGAAAACAATAAACAAGCTGACGTCTTCATCAGAATCCAAATCTTTAACCGCAAAAGCTTAAAATAGAGAATAATAAACAATAATAATTCATGACTTTTGCTCCAGTACTAAATCTGCCATTAGAAACAATAACCAAATTGACAACTTCGTCAGAAAGCAAATTTTAAACCACAATACTTAAAACAAAAAGAGATGACACAAGCCAAAAGATGACAAATCACAAACGCTGCGCGTACTGATAATACTGATAAATGAAATGCAATATATTCCATTACAACAAACCTTCAACTCGACTTGCTGCACCAAAGGAATTGAGACCGATCTTTGGGCCTTCTTCTATCCTACATAAATCTACGGTAGTACGTCGGGTTAATTACGGTAGCTCCTGTTTATGTTAGAAAAGATGCGCTCACTTTGATTGAACTGCTACTGCGACATAAGTCATACCGTAAGGCCCCACAGGGATATAGAAAAAGCATTGTTTGATTCGGCAAATATATGGTGTTAGCCGTGGGCAACTTCACTGTTCTATTTTGGCACATGGATGGAAAAATAATTACGTTCATTAGTAGAAATTTGGCTTATGATTAACACCATCATATAATGACACTCCTGGACTAAACATATCTCACGATGTCGTTATAAAAGAACACGATATCTAAACATGCCAATTTTGTATTTGGCCAAAGTGTGCTTTATTTTCGTCTATATGACTTAGATAAGACTAACATTTTTAATAAATTCATTTAACAAAATATACTTCAGCCATAAACCACAATGTCTAAAACGGGAGCACTCACAAGTTGATCGTTACTTATGATATTAATGAAATGCGGTTAATTATGCTTTTATTTCCTTAATGAAAGGGGAGAAAACTGCATGATTAGAGTGGACAGTGGACAGTCTGTGATGACCAGGGACACCTGTATCAGATCTAACAAGCGACCCCACAATCATGGCGTCATCGGAATATGAGTTGGAAACTCGTTAGGTGAATAACAAGCAATGAATGTAATACAATATGGTGCGCGTGCAGCGAGGAAAATATATCTCTGATCGAGGCGTAGTCTATCGAATAAAATTTAAATATACAAAATGGATATTTTTTTTTCTTAGTCATTGATTATTAAGAGTGATTGGAACGAATTGGGATAGGGCACGGTCCTTCGTGCACGAAGCTCGATTTTCGTTGAATCAGCCATAGCATTCTCATTATACGAAAATAAAGTCAACTGAAGTGTTCAGTAAAAATAAAACATCCACTTATCACGCTTAAATGTCCCTTTTCGTTATCAGTCATACTAGCGAATAAATTCAATTATAGAATAGTTCGTAGCAATAGAAAAAATGAGATTAAATTCATTTCATATAATATACAGTCCGTACTAAAGACACCGGATCATTTCTCCCCCGAATTCCTTTAACAATACACTTTTTTGTATTGTTTGTTTTTAAATAGTATTTGTTTACTGAAAGGGGAAAAATACACAGTCATGCACATTCGGTGAGAAACAATGACGGACCCAGGAAACTGTGTGTGTGTGTGTGGGGGGNAGCTGTGAAAAAGCATTGCATGTGAGAAAGGTGATTTCAGTGAGTGAGAAAGCACATTTGATCCCTGTAATGAAAAAAAAAAAAACTTTGAAGAAAACATTTCTGTTATTTTAGTACCAGTCTTTGTGTGAGACCTTTCTTACTCTGTCTCACAGGCATATCTCCAGGTCATTCATATTCTTAGAACCCATATTGTGAAGGTTTTGTTGAATATGATATTACTGCAGAGGAGCTAAACCTCACAAGATGGATTTTCTTTCAGCATACAGCATTGAGGGCTTGTGCACTCACAGAGGGAGAGGGAGAGAGAGAGGGGGGGTGGGGGGGAAGGTGGGGGGCAGACGACATTCTTTTCTCTTGACTTCTGAGGTACTATACCCTCCTCTCTCCCATCTCCAGCCCCTAGAAAAATTTAAACAAGCAAAATGCGACACTTTTTCATTTCTGTGTCCACGTGGTTTAGTAACATTGTCATGATGATAGCAATACTGTACATAATATATATATATATATATATATATATATATATATATATATATATATATATATATATATATATATATATTTTTTTTTTTTTATTTTTTAAAGTTCCCTTTCTTCCCCCTTCCCGGTGAGAGAGCATGATAACATGCGCCTTTGAACAAAACTAGAATATAAGACGTATTTCGTGCTCAACATCATGAAGTAGACCATTTGTCAGGAGGAAATGTTTGAATATTCCATCACCAGAAATGGCAGTAGTCAGACACATAATGGTCACTACTTGAAACAAGAGTTATCTGTCATCTCAATCAGAGGACACTTGTCAGGAACCATGTTATTAGGGCCCCTAACCGGCGTGATGGCTGCTTGGACTTTCAAGTACAGCCTGTAGTTATGGCCCCTGACAGCTTACGTGGACATGGTCAAATTTGTAATACATATAGACGAACGTGTACAAGCGTATACATGACCTGAATATTTGTGATACTGATACATTCACAGAAGGACGATGTGAAATTAGCCAGTTAAGGACACACACTCAGACGTGCAGGCGCACACATGCAGAAAGCCACACACACAAACGCACACACATACACACACGCACACAATCATGTACGCATGCATACACACACTCACACACATGCACACACACACGCACGCTATGCCAGTGACAAACAAGATCGCCGAATGTATCAATCATGGTCTAAGGAAAAAATAATAAAATAAATAACGAATTAACAAAAATAATAAAAATATAACGAATCTAAAACAAAAACAAAAAGATAACGAAAACGCCACATGACGCTTGAATAACAGTCGACAGTAGAAGCAAAAGTCTGGGAGAATGACTGGGACCAATAAACAACCACTATATCAAAAAGAAATTATTGCACCTGCACCTATTGACCTCACAGAGCAAGGACTGCTGGGAATGTGCAGTAAATCTGGATGCAAAGAGTGATTTGTAATTTGCCTGTTTATAGATAAGAGAGGAGTGTAGAGCACCGTTTACACTGAAGGTCGTCTTTTCTGCGTCCCGTAGTAAGGCTTCATTTGAGAGTTAAAAAAAAAAACACTTAACGTGCCGACAACTGGCCGATCATTGAGCATTCATTCTGCAACCAATTAAAGCCGTGCTTGTGCCACCTTACTACGACCACAGTGCTGCCAGTTTCATGGTCGCAGGAAGGACACCGTCCAGTGTAAAGGGAGTTTGAAGTAGGCCTATTGATGACTGATGCGACCAGTCACTGAATAGTCGATTGTTCTACATTATCCAAGGGCATGTGATTTTCTGGCACTACTTAAAAGACAGAACACATATGGATGTGTATCTAATTTGCCAATGGCCACTCTATAGAAAAAAAAAAAAATTTGTGTCATGTCTCATTTTTTTTTATTTCAACAATTTTCTACTATGTCTTTACAATTTTATTTTCCGATTTTTTCTCATTTTACCTATTGGTTGTGTTGTACATGTAAATATTAAATTATTGATTTTTCAAAGTAAAACATAGTGTAAACAGCCGGTCAGCTTCTAGTTACCCTCTTTTCACCTATAGTACCTACAGACCGTCCAGGGAAGTAACCGTGACATTGTTTTCTGTTGTCTGTGTTATCATAGACCCCGTTCCCATAACCTAGATCGATCTAGCAATATCGATCCATCTCCGAGGGGATTCTTGCAAAATTGCATTCACCTTCAGTAGCTCTGATGGCTGGCACGCCTACTGAAGCTGCTAGGGGGTAAGTAACTATCGCTTAGCAGCGTCAGTAAGCGTGCCAGACATCTAAGCCACTTACGCTCAACACATTTTATCGAGAATCCCCTCGGAGATGGGTCGATCCTGCTAGACCTATCTAGGTATGGGAACGGGGTCTATGATAACACAGACAACAATGTCACGGTTACTTCCCTGGACGGTGTGTAGTTACTCGCGCTCTGTTGATTCAGGCGCCTGTGCTTGTTACGGTTCATCTCTGCCAAATTAAGCAATGACACATATAATCGGTTGACTAAAACTACTATATGTTGTGTATGATGCAAAACAAGACCTCCTGACTTTATCATTATATTGGTCAGCAGAAAGAATTCGTTCCCTTATGTTCAACCACTAAAATATGTTATTATATTTTCTGTCGTGAGAATCTTCGAGAGAATCTTTGAATTAAAATATAATGGCTGCTCTTATGTAGTTCTTCAAGTATGATGACGACACAGAAAAAAATAAAGAATTTGGCAATAGGCGTGTGGGACTTTAAGTAATTAATATTATAGAGATATTAATTTAACCTGATGTACACAACCGACTCTCATCGACGGTCTTCTTCAGAATGTGTACAACCTAGCGGCCACTTAGTATATGTACAAATTATCTTTATCATCTAATGAACACCGTACAGTTTGAGCCTCAGCTAGCATGAGAGCTTTATATGTGTTTTGTTTGTTTGCAAATAACGATCTATGAGCGATACTTGTGTCAGGCTTAGCCTATCTCTGTCGTGGCCAGTTTCGGCTAACACGTCCTTGACACTTTGATGATAGATTACGTTATTATGCCACAGAGGTTTGATTCACTAAATTTCATTCTCTTTCTGAATGTTCAGCTGCATGTACACGTGTTATACCCCTTAATTTCTTGCGCAAAATCTATGTTTACTTACCGAGAAATGTGCTGCAAATTCTCCTTTGGTGGTGATTTGTGTTCAAGAAAACCAAGCGAGCCGGTCACGCACGCTGTCGGCTGGCCAGTACGAAGGTGGACTGAGCTTGACCACTGACACCGGCGTGTTTTGTGGTGTATAATTAGTCCGGAGTCAAAAACAGTTGTATGCATAAAATGACACTGTTGAACAATGGCGCTTTTTCCTATACCTTAGGCTTCCGAATAGCGGCGTCAGTGTCCCACTACGTGTTTGGGGGGTTTAAAGCTCGAATTTATGTTAAAATATGAATACTGGACACTGGTTTTAGCGTGTAGAGAGGGTAATAAAGGCGTTGATTTTATTGGTAGATTGCGTTTTGGTGCTAGCGCTATTATTCTTTGTACTAGCACATCATAAGTGATGGGAGGGGGGTAGGTACATGTAATATACAGGTTGCTTACATTTTTTTTTGTGTGTGTGTGTGTGTGTTTGTGTGTTTTGTGTTTTAACTCTATCTGCAGAATGTTTTTTACCCTGATATCAAGGGCCTCTAAAAATATACAAAATCAGGCCCGTAGCCAGCAATTTCAAAGGGGGGGTTTCTTTTTCTGAAAAAGTGGACCTTTTACCATATAATCCCCATGTACCTAGGTCAAATTTTAACCAGAGTGGACCTTTTTCCAGCAAAAAGGGGGGTTCTTTTGAACCCCCCGAAACCCCCCTGGCTACGGGCCTGAACATTTACTAAGTATGGGTGCGATACAATAACTCTGGAACAGACTAGTAGCGCACCCTGTGGTCAGAGAGTAAAAGCACCAGTATCTACTCAGTATCTTCAAAATGATCTGTCACACTACGGGAAAACTAAGAATTGTGAGTTTACTACGCTTTTTATAATAAAATACGACATTTTCTTTTAAGTATCATTCGTACATGTTTTTTTTTTGTTTTTTTTTTTTTTGTTTTTTTTTTTGTCTATAACACCCATCAAGGTGAAGTTTCTTTTTTATCTTTATTTATTAATTTAACTATTTATTTTTGGGGGAGGGGTGGAGTGGGCTGCTGCCCATGCCACTCCTGTCTCCTTTGTTTTCTGAAATTAGTGAATTAAGAGAAGAAAATCATGAAAATGGTCATGACACAGCCAGTGACCATGAAGCAAACAGTAGACAATTTTGAACGCGGTGATCTTAATCAGACTACGCCAATGGGGACACGCAGTATGTTACGCCTGTGGTCAAGCGTCTTATCGGCGTCCATCACAATGAAGGCATTGTCCATCCCTCATGTCTCCCCGTGGTTGCAGTCCTGATGAGTGTCCAGTACCCGTCTACCCCGGGAAGTGAGTGGACTTTATCTAACGCCATCTTTGGCCCATATCCTGCTGTACAAATAGACTTATGTATTTGATCGCAGGCCTGTTTCACAAGAGTTATTTTCCCCAAAATGGCCTGGCTTTTAACTTATATAAGGGCGCATTTTCATTGAAACTATTGGTCTACGTACACATAACTAGCTACGAGGAGACGTCTCGCTGAATACAATCAGGTTAACGCCTCATTTTGTTTCCGACGTAATAGTATTGTCACCAGCTTTTCTGTATTTTACACAACGCCAGGGGGAAAAATGTTAATCTGTTAAACTGATTGCATTCGGCGAGGGTTCCCACAGAGTTGGATCGATCTACGCAGACCGATAATTTCAGTGGAAATGAGCCAAGATTTTCAATTGAGTCACTGCCGTTAAGGAAATAATGACGTGCATTTCACTTCTGACTAAAATAAGTAGAACAGTAGAATATCCCCCCCCCCAAAAAAAAAAAAAAAAAAAAAANTCCTCCCCCCCCCCCCACACACAAACACGCAAACAAAGACAGAATAAAAACAAAAAAGTATCGCAAGCAAAGCAAAACAAAGGTACGTTCCATCTTCACACATAATATTATAGTAAATTCATCCCCATATACTTTTTCGGCATTGTTATTTCCGGTTCCCCGTAACAAAACCCTGCCCCCCCCTTCCGTCGTTATTTCGCCACCCGACGTACCCGAAGACTGAGATATCCACACCGAGTCCGCCACTCCACAAACAAACGGCACCAGAAAGAAATACTCAATGCTTCCTATGGACGGATCGAACACCAACATACTGGTATAGCAGCCGAAATTACAACAGGCGGCAAACACAAACAGTACTGGCCAGCCGACGTATTTCACCAGACGTCCGGTGACGATGGACCCAATGTTGGAACCGACAGCAAACGCGATCATTGTCCAGCCGTTATATTCTATGCCAAGCTCGCAGCTCACAAATGCCTAGAAAAAATGATGTACTTGACTTCATGGAACCTGAAGCATTATCGTTATTATTCAGTGATATGTCTAGAAGTATGGGCTATTGCCTTTCCCAACCACAGCAGTCGTACAAATTAATAATGAGCATCATTACTGCCGTTTGATATAATAATAATAATAATAATAATAATAATAATAATAATCTTAAACCTGGGAATGCGAGGCCTGCAAATCGCCAATCAGAGAAAAAACCACGTCAGTCAGGCAAGACATTATTGGATCTTTATGTCAGCGATGTTGCTACCGATACTTTTCATGTTATATTGTAGGACTATGACATTCAGGTATATCAAAACAATTATTGATTTTTGTTCTGCGTCAATATGTACTATTGTCAACATGAATCGTCCACGGTAGGCGACAAACAAGAGAGTGCTCGTAATTATATCCAGGCGAAGCCAAGATATAAAATGCTCTTGTAGTTGTAGGTACATGTTTGGCGATTCGTGGAACTTCGAACAATTGCACTTGTATTTTGCTCTGATTGCGCTGAAGCGCAATACAGTAATGACGAGTTTGTAAGGCAAATTAATAATAATAATAATAAGAAGAATTGTAATTTTCTTTTAATTTTTCTAAGTACATGTAAGGGCTACCGGCCGATATCACCTTTTTGGGGTCTGCAAAAAAAAAAAAAAAAAAAAAAAAAAAAAATATATATATATATATATATATATATATATATATATATATATATATATATATATATATATATATATATTGACCGAAGGCAAAACTCAATAATCGTTAAGTATTTTCCTGTTTACCTTGGTGAACTCCGCTATGATGAAGACCTCTCCGGCCGAATACATCATAAACGGCAATACCAAGAGAACAAACTTCTTCCTCAACAGAAGATTCCCCGTGGCGGACCAGAACGCTCGTGCCCCACTTACTGCCTCCACGGATTCTGGTTTGATCTTTTTAACGAAAAATAGAGTCAGTACGAAAGCGCTCCCGACAAGACAGAGAAAACCGCCCAGGGTGATATAAATCTCGTTTTGGTCCGGCTGACGTATAAAGGTCCCGGATGTATCCTCCCAAGGACAGAACTTCGGCCCGCAAAGTTCACTCAAGTTGCTCTTCTCCGTCGCATTCACGGACGCTGGTTTCACGAGGACCAGCGATGAAATTAAGTTGCTCCAAATGCTGCACGTGAGGTAGATGGTGAAGAAGATGCCGTTAAAGAGTCCCATCACGTGGTCTTGGGACTGTCCCGTGGCGTGGACATACTGTAGAGCCAAGGCGGTGATGAAAACGCCTGCCGTGGTCAGTCCCTGGCCATGCCCTGAATATATATAATACAGAGTGTCTTAATGTTAGCACCACTTCATGTGTTCTCATCATGGGAGATCAAAGGTTAAAGGGACAAAAAAGAGGATTAAAAACGCCTTTTTAGTGCATGGATTGCTTCTTTTTTAACTTATCTGAGAACAATTGCTATGGGTAAAGCATAAAATGGCAGGTAAATGGCCTTAATCAATATCGAAAAAAAGAATCATATTCACCGTCCACTTTCGAACCCCGGGCGTCAGCCATCTTGACACAGTTTGAAATAACGCGGCTTCTCGACTCAAATACGAGATGTAAACAATGCAGACAGCATGTCGTTTCGAAGGTGAACGTGGACGTGAAGGAGAAGAGGAATTGCTCACCGAATCTTTGCAGGTAAGCGAGTTATATTTACCAAAAGTACTTTCAAATGGGAAGATGGCAGTGGAAATCAAAATATCTGACAGAGGAAGTTAAAAAGCGTACGGTAGATAACTGCTAATAATTAACGTTTCCTCGGGTAACGCACTCGCAGCCAAATCACTCGCACTGGGTACGTACTACTAGTTATATGAAGCGAGATAGTGCACTTTACCCCTGAGGTGTATAGTTCTGTAAAGCAGGAGGAATACCCTTTTCTGCTCAACGTGGTCATCTACCAGTACTTACAGACTAACCTCACACCATATTCTCGCAGGGGAATCCCATGAGATATACAATGTAACCCGAGTACTAGTGGGGTTAGGGGGTGTTCTTTGTACGACACGTAACTACGTTAACTTATTTGTAAATTTAATAATATTGTCAATACATATGATTATAAGGAATGAATTTTTTAGCCTTTCAGAGGAGGAATTGGGTGATACACCCCTTCAAGCACGAGTGGAGAGATCAGGTATGTTAATAATTTTAGCAGTACAGCAGGTAACAGGGGCGGATCCAGGATTATTTGAAGGGGGGGGGGGGGGGGTTCGCGGATGCAAAGCCGCCCCCCCCCCTTTAGTTGCCGCGGAGCTCTGGGCCCGCTTAAAATTTTTGGTATTTTAGAGGGCTAACAGTGCCATTTGGTATGGTTTAGCACTATACTGTAGTAAATTAGCTAGTCAAAATTCTTATCCCAAGTTGGAAATATTAGTGTGATTTTTTTTTACATCAGTTCTTTGAAACCATGTGTAATTATGTTATTTCTTCTTGTGGCCTTCATGATCTAATGCAGCTACAGATATTTAAATTATTATTATTTTTTTTTTTTTTTTGCCATAATCAGACTTGCTTCTTTATTTAAAGCTGATTATCATGTAGTGATCATGCCCTCTAATTTGTTGATTTTTGTTAAAGAATAGTGCTATTATGATAATATCAATACATTTTTTCTTTATAACCATTTTATGAAATTCTACTATTACAGTGCCTCAAGTTTTATCTGGAAAACTCATACCAGGAAGCACTCCAATCTTACAATACTGCATCACTTCAATGTCGGCGGGACAAGTTGTGTAAAAGACTGCTACAAAAAATTTGCATTGATGACCACATGATCCACCACCTTTTACCAAAACCGAGTGAAAGGTTTTATATTATAATGCCTATGTACATGTATTTAAAGTGACAAGACTGAGATCAGCGAGAGCCTCAAGGACTTTATTTTCTGGGCATTGTCAACTCTTCAATAGTTTTATAATTTTGCCACATACATCCAAAGATTCAATTCTAATGCAATTCTTGAAAACTTTTTTAGAATATAATTTAATGTCGAACATGTTTTTATAAGAACTAGACCTTTAGTAAATTAACAATATGTATTATCCAACTGTTATTATTAATTAACATATTGTTATGTACAAAGCATAAGCTGCAGTAACAATGTAGCATTAACTGGGTAGAGATTATGAATGAAATAAAAGTTCAAATATTGAAACATCTTTTATTTATATTTGGAAAAAATACAAGAATAAACAAAGTTTGCTACATAAGTTTGGAATTTGGCCAAATCATCTTTATTATTACCTGTCACATGTAATGAATAAGACATATACAGATTTTGGAAGCTAGAATGCATAATTATTTTCATACTTATTAATGCTCTCTTTATAAAGAAGCCTTCCATTCAAGCATTCACAAACTTTCACATTGTGCAGTACACATTTTAGTATGGTAACATTTTTGAGAGAGAGACTTATTAACAGCCGGGCTATCATGTTAAGAGTCTGATGTACATGCAGACCCATGAGCATTGTAGATCAACAAATTATCCCCCTCTCTGTCAGTGTGTTGACTCATGTGAGCTGACACAAAAGTCTCAATGCAAAGGGATGTGTCATAACAAGGGACTAACCCGACTTACACAAACATAAATTGTTTCATCGGTAAGATATTCACATACTTTTCCAAGATGTGCAGGGAATAAATAGAAAGGTTTAAATATTTCTTTTAAAAATACAGGCATGGCTTCCCTGCATGAATTCTAAATGATGGCTGAGTGGAGAATTGAATACAGGCACAAGTGTTCACTCAATCCATTCTGTAGGTCTTAAAAGAAATGACATACAGTCATTTGCCAAATACAGAATTTTATGCTGTAACAAAGTCTCAAAACTCCGCAACTGGTGATCTTACAAAATCTGACCACACACTGGTTTAAAATCATGTTGAAGTCACAATATGCCACCAGTACCATATTCCATAATACATTTGATGCCATTTAGATTTATGAAGTAAATGCTGGACCAAAATGGTTTCTTCTCAATATCAGGCATATGACTTAGGTTTGGGAGGAAAGACCACCTTGACTTCCAATCTGTCTGCATTATAGCATAAATGCCAGTGCTAGATGGTTTGAAGTCAACAGATTATGCTTTTGTCACAGTGGCAAGATGAGTTCACTTAATATATCCTGTAAGCAGCACTTGAAAGTCAGGAAAAGTCTCTCACTATCCAACTCATCCCCGCTTTGGACCCTCAAGAAAAGTTCCTCGTATTTTGGTGGAGAGCCATGGAGTTCCTCTTCCATGTAAAAAACTCTTCTTCAGGACATCATACTGGCAGTTGCTCATAACCTTAAGGTCTAAAAAAGCAAATCAAAATAATAATAATAATAATTTATTAAGATTGCAACCCAGTGGGTTGAAGTTGTACATAGTGTTAAGAAAATTATAATGAAAATAAAGTGAATATTTGCTTGAATAAAACTGAGTTAAAAGACTGCTAATTGAACTTTAAAATTATTGTACTTAGGATAAAAGACAACATAATACTATTGGAAATTTAAAAGTGCATACGGAATAAAAGAGCATCAGAATCTGTCGGTCTTAAATTGTGGCACTTTGTTACTATTGTTTGATCTTAAAAGACGATTGGATTGATCAATAAAGATGTGATTCAGTTTGTCAGAGGATTCAGTTATTTTGTAAAAGAAAGTTTTGCACAGATCTCTTCGTTTATCTAAAGTACACATATGCCAGGTTCAGGGTTTCATCATAGTATAGGTCAGGGAAAATAATCTTCAAAGCACGAGTTTGGTCAGTCTCTTAGAGTTTGCATTGCTCTATAGTTAGTCCTGGATGCCACACAGGGCAGGCATATTCTAGAATTGAGTGCACAATACTTTGGTAAAGCTTAGCTCGTTTCAGTTGACGGAGGAAATAGAGTCTTGCATTATGTTTACATTATGTGTCGCCAATTTGGAAAAAAAATTGATAAAAGAGAAATCATGCACCTTTAATGCCTAATATATGAGGAGTGAATATCAGCTTATTAAAATTCTGCTTACTCTAAAGACATGTTTTAGTCCCATGTTGGATCATCAGGATCCTTTAATTCCCTCTTCTTCAGCATCTTCCTCCTCTTCCATCTGCACTTCTTCCAGGTCAGGCATCCCATAGGAAAAAGTTACCTTGATACTGCAACCAAAAAAAAGCAACAGTACATAAAATAAGATAATCAAGTTTGAGAAAACTCATGTAAAAACATAACTGAAATAAGTATAAAACTCAACTGAAATAAGTATAAATGCCATTTTTCTCAATATGATCACCTTAAATTATCTAGACTGTCATCTTCAACTGCACTAGTATTAACTACAACTTAATTTTGAAGTTTTTTGATCACTTCATATTGGTTTAATCTCCGAAATACTGGTTCGACTCTAAAGTTAAAACTGTATGATCTAAATTATTACTCTGGACTATTTAATACATTAGAGAGATGTACCAAACATAAACATGCAATATCCCCTTTCTGATTTATTTATTTTTAATGTAAAAAGGAGACAAATTGTCTTTAAAATATAAAATCAAAATACTACTCAAAGATATTTTCAATTATAGTTGACATGCCATTTAACAATGAGTTAAACTTAGATACAATAACAGCTTCTGCACATTCATTTTGGGATTTAGATGCCTAAAGAAATAGCATCTTGGTCATATGTCTTAATTACTGTGGTATGCCTAGATGTTAGAGGCACAAGAAATGTGCCCTCGGTAAGTCAAAAATTCGCCCTGGTCATTGTAATGTACATGTAATGAGACTAGTATCTCCCACCATGTCAGTTTTTATTTAAACTTTCTTTGCTCTATAAACTAACCCAAACCCTGTCAGAGTCGACATATGAGCACACTTGCAATTTCTGTCATCGATACCACTCATACCAGTATTAGTTACAATTTCATGGCATATTTTGACAGACGAGCCTGACAATCGTTAAGAAATACAACGAACACACGTAAATAAGCATTAATATCTGAGCTTAATAAATATTTTTACTGGTGTCTTATCTCAAACATAATTGTAAATGGTACTCACAAATCCAGTAAATACTTCGCGGCCAGGCCATTCTTCGTATCCATGGCCACCCAAGCAGGTTTTCATCTGCCTTCTTCCTCGCCGGTGTTTATTGTTTGCCTGTCGTACATTTGCTGATACACTGTTTTACGCATGTTTTTTGTAAAGGCTGTTTCTTTTTTCTTTTTGTTATCTGTCTTCGCTTCTTCGAAGGACTCCCAGCATAACTGAGCCTCCTGTTTCACGTTGTCCTTTCCCGGCAGCTTGAACTGGTTTTAACTAGGTCGCAATACGAGAATCTCGCGAGATCCGGAAGTCTAGAGAGCTCAATTATGAAAATGGAGGTGGTTGTTGGTAAACCTCCGCTTAAGCGGAGGTTTTCTTTTTATTGTATTTTCCAAAAATGTTACAGAGCGATGGCGAGTGCCGGGAATGATAGATTAAAGGTTGGTAAATCGCGGAAAAGTAGTGTTAACCTCGGGATAAATCAGGATAAATCAATTTTGGCGCGAAAATCCTCTTTTGTGTCCTTTTAAGTTAAAAATTAATAATAATCCAGAATATTTTATTTTGTATCAGAAAAAGCGAACTTAGCCAACGGTTAACGTTGATGCATGTACATGTATTTAATAGTGTAAATAGTAAAGAGAAATAGAATTATGAGCACCATTGAACTTTGATATCTAACTTTAAAGCAATAATAACTCTTCCTTTGAGATTCAAAATGCCGCAAGAAATACATTCTAAACAACACATGGACATAAATTATATTGCATTTCACCACTTAAACGGCTGTTATTGTATTAAAACTAAAAACTGTGCTTGTCAATAGGGCTTTCGGTGCCTTTCTTCCCGGTCGTCAAGGCATCCGTTGCCAAGGATGTTGGCGCATTACGCGGATTCTCGCGTGCATTCGAGACCAAAATAACTTGTGGCGAGATAAGATATAGCAGGCGCATGACACAATCCTCAGACGTAAGTTGCGAGTTTTTGTACAGTGTGTCGGATAACGAAAAGTCCAGAACTGCACAAGTTGTAGATATAAATGCATTCTGAGCAATAAGACGATTATATCGTATGAATCTTATTATATTGTAATAAAGTGTTGTTGTTGTCTGCTTTTCCCGCGGTTTTAAGTAGGTCATCAGAAAACCCCGCTCGATATCGCGTGACTTTTCAATGTCAGAGAGGGCTCCGTCAGTAAAAATCTCTTAAGAGATTTTAACAAACAAACCAAGCGTTTAGGAAAAAAAATAAAAAAACCTGGACTAACTTTAAATGCAGGAATGGGGTCGTTGACCATTGGTAAGTACTGGAAAATTGCCGTTTACGCCAGGAAAATCCAATTTTTGGCCAAAACGAAGAGTTATTATGACTTTAATATTCGATTCTTTCTGCATCTATCCATAAGGAAATGCATTAGGGAATGCCGGCGATTATCAGTATAGCTGAGTTGAAATTAAAAATCCGAGTTGAAGATTAAGAACCCGCCAGGAAGTTCCCATTTTATCAGAGCATACTTACCTATTCCAGCAAAGAACGACACCGGCAACAAAATATAGGGTTCCACGTAAAAATGTGCGCAAATGAACACAGTTTCACACACCCAGGCGCACAGCACGCACCCTTTGGCGCCTAACTTCCGCGTCAAGATGGGCGACACCAGCACAGAGTTGACGAGAGCGCCCCCAAACAGACACATCATGGCGTACAGGCCGATCTCAGGCTGGATGACTCCCTCTAGGTTCATGAGCGCCGTGTGGGGTGCGTAGCCTAACATGTAAGCCACCGAGAGGATAACCAGTTGGATGACAGGTCCCCAACGCGTCTCCTTCTCCCGGCTCTTCTGGCCCACTAAGAGTGCAGAGTTCTCGGGGCTCTCTTCATCATAGTCCGAGAAACTATTCCCTGAGTGGATGAGTGCCATTTCCGACCCTCTCGGCCCCGTTAAGGAAAGGGTGGTATCTGTTTAACCAGTGACTGTATATTTTGCTTCAAAAACTGGTAAAAAGGCAGGACTCCTTGGTTGAAAAGGGCGTACATTTGACAGTCTTCCTACTACACGTACATAGCTCGTCTGTGATTATAACTTTGTGACCTAGTTAACTTGAGAAACATAGGTCAATATCTGATACATAAACGGGGGTTCTTCTTACTGGAACTTAGTGCGTATTACATACACAGTTAACCCAGTTTTGGCTGATAGAAATAAGATAAAAGTGTCCCAGATATTACACTCTCAAGTCTGGGTGAAATGTCCACCACAAAAGGTCGAACTTCCAAATAATAATAATAATAATAATAAACAATTGTCTTATCAATAATAATAATAATAATAATAATAATAATAATAATAATAATGCTCTACTTTTGCATTTCTTGGCGAAGCTATAGCAGCTTAGTTACCAGTATGTATACCCCACCACACACCACAAAAAGTGTCACCCCTAACACAATGCGTGAACTGATACAGAAAATCACGAACTACTTTTCTTTATTGAAATTCTAAAATGAATCTTTTCACAAACATTTCCTGATCGTACTACCATACGCTAACCATACGAATGCAAATCAATGCTACATTTTAGTACTTTGTACAGTATTCTCTGGATTGTAGGACGTACCTGTCGTGTCTGCGTGTGGCGTCAAACAGTTCTGTAACGTTTGCATGGTGATGGCGTTCCACATGCGGTGCAAAGATAGTATGAGATCATTTTTTCTTGCAGAGTTAACCTTCAGTTATCCATTTCTAATGATATCCTTCACATTCTTAATTAAGTTTAAATCTAGGAAATGAGCTGGCCAATGGGTGGTGGTGGAGGGGGGGGTGTGTGATCTGATTCGCACATAACCAGCCTACGTTTGCATTGGCTGTACGTAGAGTAGCATTACCATGCTGAAACAGAAATGGGTGGTCATGGCCCCCAAAGATATTCTCGACAAAATTCCTTTAGTTTACTTTCCATAACTTGGATGCAAATGTCTGCGTTAAGGTTTCCGTTGACCACTGCCAGCTCGCCTACGCCATAGTAGCCTATATACCGACATTTCTTACGCGGAGGCGGTGGGGTGGGGGGGGGGGTCCAGTGGACCAGAGGCAGAAAATTGGGGTTATACTTCTTACCAGCTGTTCTCCAAACCTTTATGCGTCCATAAATTCTCACAACACTGCGCTCAAGCTTGCTTGCTTTTGAGAATAATATAAATGCCCAGTTTTTGGGTGGTGTCTATGCATAAGGGTTTGTAAAACAGGTGGTAAGACGTATCGAGGGGTCAAAAATCCCTCTTATGGCAACCTCTTGATAAATAATGTATTCCTCTCACTTAGGGGCTGTATATTTAAGGATAATTGGCTTTGGAGTATTTCAATAGTTACACTAGGTAAGCCAGTTTTCTACTACTCTCAACCGCAATTTACACGTTGATCGGTTGCCTAGTTGTTATGTAAAATCAATACTATGGGTATCCTTGTAGCAATGTGCATAATTGCGGTAGGGCTGACACTGGCGGGGGAGTATATAACTAAATTTACAACGCTCATCATAAAGACTTTATATAATCCACATAATGTAATTTTGTAATGAAAACACGGTGTATTTGATTCATTACGTACAATACAACAGATTATTTTATGTGACTATGACATAAGCGGCATGGTTGTTGGCTGCCCCATACCGTGACTTCCAATTGGCGCTCCCTCCTTCCGTCTTTCATCTCTCTCTCTCTCTCTCTCTCTCTCGCATGCACACACACTGACCTGCACACACGCACACACACACACACACACACACACACATGCACGCACACCCAAAACCCCTTCCTCTCCACTCTCTCTAACGGAATTCAAGAATAATTTGCAATCGGAATAATTCAGATTGCTATTTATTCGCGTACAAGTTACATTGTACTTAGTGGTTCTGGAGTAAAGTAATTACAGAAGCAACTCATCAAAGAAGGACTTAATATATAGATGGTAATTGCCTACAAATAATTGCTCTGCATTTTGCCGTGTTAATTGGGTAAGATGAGAAAGAGATTGAATCTGATCCATTGCATCGCTGACATTCTGGCGTCACTTTCGGTTAGGTCAGGTTGATCTTCCATTGTTATTAAAATAACACGGGTTTCTGCTGAGCGTGTGATTTTCCGGTACGTACGTCATGAAACCATACGATCCAGAGCCATCGCGTGTACCTGCTGCGAGCAGTGAAAGGAGGTCGTTTCTTCTCACGGTCTCTTACCGTGGAGTGGCATGGCGTTGCTGTCTATGAATAGAATATAAAGAACATATATAGGGCAGCAACAGCGATTGGTTTCTAAGAAAGAAGACAATTCACAATTGTTGTCCAGGAACTAGGTTTCTAATATTGCCACACGGGTTCGCGAATGCCCTGACACGTTATCGGCGCGTTGTTATTCATATTTGATGTCATAAGATTTTTTGAAGCACTTTACGCGATCAGTTGTTAGTCTATTCAAAAAGGAATTTCAAAACAGGAAGGAAAAACAGATCGATTGGATGGTTGTTTCCTTTGCCGGCGTCGTAGACAACAGAGAACGAGAAAACAGACGAGACTGATTTTGTTTCATAATACACAGCTGCTATCTAGGAAGGAGAATCGATATTTTAAGACGTTCAGATCATGACTGCTTAAACAACGCATGAGTGAGATATCATTGTGATTGAACCGGAAACAATATAGAAGGAATAATCTCTCATGGAAGCCCTTTTTTTCTGCAGTACTCACGCTATGGCGTTAATAAGGACCTTAAGGGTTTACTTTGACATGGAAATCGTTATTTGACGATCAAATTGAAGTTTGCTTCGCAATACACATAAACAGCGGCTTTAAAAAATCACAGACCGTTTGAAAAATCATTTTATTCCATGTTGGACAAAAATACGCAAAGAAGAAGACACATAAAAATACACGGTTCTGCTTAAAGAGTTACCAAGCATCATCCCTAAAAGCGCATGTGTATATTAGAAAACAAAACGTTCCTGGAAAGGATCTATTCACAGCAAATGCAACAACATTAAAAGGCTATTGGAAGAGGTGCCATGCCTCCACTAAGACTTGTCTTGCAAGTTATTTTCTTATTTTCTATTTTAGCTCACATCCAAGAAGCATCTAACAAAACTACTGAAAACACCCTTAACTTCGAAAGTAGCAGCCACTTACAACGTTGCCCTTTTCAAAGACATTCCAACGAATCAACCTTATATATAAATGACTTGGGTGTGAAATATTCGCCTTTTGCGAGAGGGTGCGATCCATGCAAGTATAGCGGTGATGACGTCCCACAGACGTCGGTTTGTCGTCAAGGAAACCTGACGGTTTGTCACGTGCCGGATACTGATCTTTGCGTGATGTGTAGCGGACCGGACGTTTGCTGGCTGTGTTCTGGGATCGTGAGTTGTCATGCCAACACAGTGTGTACTACCTGCAATAAAGGTATGCTATACCTTTGTAAAGTAATGTTGTCCTGAAATAGGTTAATTCCAAGGATTCGATGCAATAATCCCCAGAACCCCTTCAACAAAATTACTGTAAAACGTCCTTTATACTAGCTTTTTGACAAACATCTTGGTGTATCTTAAATTAAAGTCAATATGAAGTGGACATATAGAATAGCTATAACTCTTGAATATAAAATAAACGCAATATTTCATTCAATTGTTTTCATCAATCGTCCGTTTATGTACACGCTGAACCTTAAATTTTACATTTTTTTTGGACTTATATTTTTCATTGGGTAGGTTCTGCAGGAGGCTGTGGTGAAATAGGGTGGATAATGACTAGGGTTCTTAAAATTCATGATTTGGTCGAAGGAGATTTATCTAGATAGATGGAAAAACACAGACTTTTTATTTGCTCAAATTATCATTTCTAAGGATAAAAAAATTGGGAACCCGCCCCGGGCATCTGAATGCTAACGAAAAATTACAATAAACAGAAAAAGCACAGGTGGATAAAGGTTCAATAAGACTAATTTTACTAGAAATATACTGATTTTGCTGCTCATTTTGCCCTCTTCTGATTGTTTTGGCGGTCATTTTGATTTTATAATAACAGTAACATGCTATGATGTAGTCAATTGTCCTACAGTGTTTTTCTGACAGAATATGCAGTCTCTAAAGTGTATCTGTCGACTTCTGTCAGTTTTTCCTATTTTTACTCACAAATTGGCGGCCATATTTAAAAAAAATGTCCAATGTCTCAGAAGTAGCAACCCAGGTTATTTTACTTCTCTATCCACAAGGTATGAATTTCTGTAAATAAAGCTTACAGAAAAGTACTTTGCAGGGTGAGCGTTCTGGCGACTTCACTAGATGGGTATGATCGGCTAGGAGGCCGCAGTGAAATATAAAGGCCTTTTTTTTCTTTATTTTTCTTTCAATACATGATTTCGTTGAAATGATTGATGTTTAAACATAATAACTGAAGAAACTCTGACTTTGATTTGTTCAAATTATTATTTTTAAGGGTCAAAAAGTGGAGACCCAGCCGGGAACACCTGGCTACAGAAAGTGGTTCCCATTTGCCTCTTCCTTGCCAGTATCTTTGTCTCCTTGGTGACCGTGGTTGTGGCTCTGTACCGGCGACAAAAGAGGGCGCTGCAGCTCAGGACGCACCAGTCGCTGATCGGTGCCTTAGAGGTAAACTCGGAATGTCGTTGCCTCGGTGCCCAAATCAACCAAACCGAAGTCTCGTTGTGTCAGTGCGAATCCTCGGGATTCAAGGTCATTTTTAGGACAAGGGTGGTGGATCAAGGGAACGGTGACAGTAACAAAGCGGCCGTTTGTGAACTTCGAGACGAAGGAGTTTTATCGGAGCGTGGTTGTGTTGATGAAAGCTGTGCTAATCACCCGAGCAACATCCAGACCGCTGAAGGTATTGGATCGTCTTGTGTAGAGACACATGCCGGGGAAATGATAACACAGGGGGTTGAGACCGCGTTTTGTGACAAATGTCATAGATTCGCAAGACAGTCTGTCACGAACTCTCAGCAGGAGAGCGCAAACCACGGCAATGTCGCTTTTAGCGTCTCAATTGACAGTGTGATCTCTAGAAATGACAATGTTTCCTTTCCAACCCAAAGTTCAACGGAGGTGAATTCTGAGCCAACAGACAGCCGTTTGTTCGATCGGGTGTTGTTTTCATCTGGCTTGCGTTAACGGAGAGAGGGGGGAAGTCGTTGACCGGTGGACGGGGTGGGGATGGGGTTGACCAGTTTGACAATTTTTTAATATTATTATTATCACAATTATAATTGTGTTTGATTACGGAGAGGAAGTTTCCTCTTACACGTGAAATATCACATACAGATTTTCAAGTGTGTATATACATGTTATGTGAAACTGAATCGTGAAATGGTCTCTTTATATATTTTCTCAAAGAGATGTCGAGCAATGTACATAGCTTTCAGTACTTTTTTGTTAAAAAAAATTAATCCAAATATTTATGACTACTGTATATTTATTTCTCAGAAAAAAGGGGGTGAGTGGATGGCAATACGGATACAAAGGGTAGGGTGAGAGGTCGTTGTTTAAGGAGAAATTAATATGACTCATTTGATTGCGGTTTAATCATAACAGTACATTTCAAAATTTTAAAGCCTTAAGGCATAGTAACGTTGGTATTGTTACAACTGTGACGAGGTCGTTGTCTTTATCTTTTGCTGTTACGCGATGTAATAAATGCAACTCTGTTATAATATATATATATAATGGCTCATATTATTTATTAACTACTTCCCAGTTGGTTCCCGTGCCGCTTGCTTTTCATTTCTACATGTAACTCATGTAATCTTCAGCGGCCTTCTCTCTGTTTACACTACACGCAGTTGTATGAGTATCATAAGGGCATGTCAGTCCACTCACTTACTCTACAAAACACTCTCCGCTCCTTCTTCATTCGCAGCTGTCAATTACTAACATCACTCAACACAAATCTGATTTGCGTCATCCGGCTTTACACTCCATGTAGACCCAAGGACAGCAGCTATATCTTTGTTTTTCAGAGACCAACGCTACTAACTCATTTCGTTTAGAATGAGATATATCAGTTTTTGTTAATTTTGTTTTCAGTGTTAATGATTATCACATTCCATGTACATTGTACTAGAGTCAGTTCTAGGAGCATTTTCTATTTCTGTTTGTGTTCTTTGACATTGTACTACAAATACAAGAAAAATTCCAGACCACCATGTACATGTAGCAAAACCATTGGTCTCGATCTCACCTCTAAAAGTGCCATTTATACAGAAAGATTAGAAACAAAAACAGAAAAAAAAATGTCTGACTGTACCCACCGTGCACAGGATATTTTAAATTTCTTACCGAGTAACTGTAAACTTTAAAGTTTTAAAGGACCAAAAAGGTTTTTAAAAATATGTTTTTACACATCTGCTGTCTTTCATTTTATCAACAAAAATGTTTTTAGGAACTCTGTTTTTTAGAAACTATATTGCTACCTTATAGTTTAAACATTTACCCAAATAGCAAGGTAATTGTCGTTATAAGTGAATTTTAAATTTTATATCAATGGCTACATAAACTCTTATCGTATCTATTACTGCACTGAATAACATAACGTGGTCTGATCTTCCACCTCTCTCTCTACCTCACATGTTTGTTTATCTGTGTAAGCAAATAAAAGGATTTACAAGAAAACCCTTCGGTTTGTCACGTCTTGAGAAAGTGAAATGTCGTCTGCAGCACGTCGTTCAATCATGCTCTCACTGTTGGCGTTTGATGACAGGTTGATACCGGTTCTGGCAGGACGTTGGCTGCTTCAACCTGCCGGATGAGATACGAGAGTTGTTTGCATAAGCCGGCTGTTTACTACAGCGCCATGTTATAGACGTTGTGTGACACATCAGTCAAGAACAAACAGAAGTGCGAGAGATCTCGAGCTACGTAGAAACCCTACCCTGGAGAAGCGAGAGGAGGACTTTATTATGAAAACCAACCGTAACATTAGGAGTAGCATAGAAAGTCAGAAATTAATTAATCAATTAATTAATCTATTTATTTATGTTGTTGTTGTCATTCTTCTTCTTATAGTTATTTATTATTGTTACTATTTAAAAGTTACAATTAGCAAGTTTAAGTTATGTGTAAGTAATCATTATCACTCCTTCTCAGTATACATGTATAGGTCCATTTAAAGAAATAAAAAAGTGAAAAATGAAGTTTTCTTCAGGACTCTGAAGACAGAAATTGATAACTCTAGGATTTTTGTTAAGTCTTTATTTTTTTTTAATTCATGTCTTGCTTGTGTGGGTTCGAACTAACGAAAGATTTAAAAATAACAACCTTTTTGCACAATATTTGCACGCCATTAATACCAACAAAAATGATAGAGGTACATGCGTATTACTAGATGCACATTTATTTAACTGTTAAATTTAGTCCTCACCCTCAAGATATAATTCACAATGCCTGGCAACGAAGGTTTGCAAATTACTTTCTATTAGAATGCAATTATGCAGCGTTTCGTCTAATACTTTTTACTGCACCCTGTCACCATATTCTCCTGCTAAAATGGATAAAACTAAATTGAACATTCTAATAATTTCTAAAATATAAAAAATCAAGCAACTAATTTAAACTAATGGCGTGCACCAAAAAGGTAACAAATGTTTTTCAATTTTTAAAAATCCGGGGCCACCATGAAAGCAGCCGTTTGCTATTTATTGAGTTATTTGAGATAAACATTCAAGACATTTTCTGAGACATTAAAAACCATACTCGCTTCCTGGCCTTCTTCAGCAAAAAATTACCTAGACCGAATATCAGATAGTTCTGTGGGTGACAGTAACGAAGGTATAAAATTAAGTCCGGTTATTTCTCTGTGTGTGTGTGTGTGAGAGAACGGACACACCTAGTTATCGTAATTTTTATTTTCTAAGTTACTAGACTGATGTTAGTTAAGTTCCACTTGGACAAAAGACACTTCCGCGCTTACTTTTAATAAAATAAGCAAATTGTTAAAAGGACCTTCATACTGAGAATGAGAGTATGAGCGGTTAATGAGTATATTACTCCCTGTAATTGCAATAGTCCGGAAATTATTTGCTGCACAAATCAGACAAAATCACTGTTAACCAGCTCAAGTGATGACTAAATATAGCATTCCACTATGAATAGCAAGAGGTTCTGATTTCATGCTTATTGGGATAGTGCATGAACTCCGTCTCAGTACAGGTGGAACATATGAAACGGGATGATTTTCCAAACAAGTCACTATCAGAATTCGATAAGTTCACATTTGCCAGCTAATATGTAAACTTTGATTTATAGACACTAGCACATGGTAATATGACGTCATACGTGCAAGGTACGGACAGTAAAGGTATCTTAAGTGTTGTTAATAGGAGTGCACGTGAAAAGTGTGTGAGTGTGTGTGGGTGTGTTCGTGATATGATTGATAATATGTGTCATTTAATAAAGGGATTATTTCGTTTCTGAGATTTATTAATTTATAAGATATTTAGGACTTTTTTTTTTTTAGAAATAAATAAAAGGTCCAGGGACAGGTAGCAAACAAGTACACGCGAATGTTTTTTTTTTTTTTTTTTTTTTTTTTTTTTTTTTTTTTTTTTTTT